GATAGATAGATAGATAGATAGATAGATAGATAGATAGATAGATAGATAGATAGATAGATAGATAGATAGATAGATAGATAGATAGATAGATAGATAGTCGACTCGGTGACGATCGCTCGGGGACACGTGCCCTCCTCGGTGACGGCTGATTGAGGGGATGACAGTCGACCTGAATATCCACTCTCTAACCTTTCGTCGTGTGGACAGGCGGTCTGTCCCGCTTTCAACAGCCCTCGTGCACTCTCCCCTTCCCCTCCCCCTCCTCCCGCTTAGGGATCGGCCAGAAAGAACGTGGGTTTTCCTCGGATTCATTCGGCAAATGACGGCGGGGAGCTCGGCGCCTGCGAGAATCGGGGTAGGCCAACCCGCAGTACATGCATGCCTCGCAGGCGCGGTGTGGCCTACCTACCAGGCGTTATGAGAGCTCGCAAGGGCTCAACTCGAAAGTGGTTCGCACTTTCTGGGTGATACCTTACCTCCACGACGAGCTTCTTGAGCAGCGCGGGGCCGGCGTAGAAGGCGCCAAACAATGCGGCGAGCCCCAGGGCCAGCCCCGTGCCGGCCAGGCAGAAACCCCTCTTGGTGCGCATCGCTGGTCCCGTGGCTCCTGAAACTACCGCTTACATGACTGTCAAGAAACTTCCCCAAGTAAACTCAGATTAATTAAGTAATTGGTCTAATTGTGGCACAGTGACATCACTGACGGTTAGTCACCTTGACATATTTCAGACTGTGGAATTTGATGTAAGTTTGATATGCATTTGATGCGATTTGATGTGATATTGACTCTCTTGGGTCACTAGTACGTCAATTTAATGTCAAAATTACATCTAATTCCACAACCCGAAGTACTCTCCTCTCGCGCCAGGGAGGAGAGGGCCACCGGCCATCCCCTGCCGGAGTACCTTTAGATCGTTATCCCCGTTCGACCCCTAAAACGGCTCATGCAGAGCGGCCCTGCTGCTGTTGCATATGGCGTGCTCGTGATCCGGCAACCTTACTGACTGCAACAAGAAACACGATTAAATTTCATGGGTAGTGTAAATAATCTTACTGGCCATTATTTTTATGAGAAAAAAATATTTTGCGCAATTATTTTATATGCCAAAATGGTACTGACAATCATTGTGCATGCCAAAATATGGTCAATCTTAAAGGATGCCAAATTTTAGACCGGTTTAATGCCCACTATCGATCGGCTTGCTTCCAAAAATCTGCCATATCGCTTTCATTTTAAAACGTTCCTAGGTTTTACAGTAAACGTGATCGGGTTTCAACAGCCGGGCTGCCGTGCTGCTTGTTGGGGAATCGAACCCGCGGCCGTGACTTTGATGCTCACTCTATGAATGGTGCCGCTGGTGGTCCGGCGGCGTCCGGATGACACCGGAACAGTGGCGTGTGGTGGCCGTGTGTGTGTGTTGTGTGGGCGCTGCTGCCGCTGCTGCCGAGAGGAAGGTCGCGCCGGGAGCGCTGGGACGAAGGACGCCTCGCAGGATGACAGCGGGGATTATCCAGAGCGTCACTCCGGCCGAGACCGAAGGGGTTCGCTACTAGCCTGCTTGGTTGACTTTCTTCCAACCGATGACGGTCCCGCGGCTGGACCGGCGCGCTCCGACTGTGTGGTCACGGTCACCGGCGCATCGCCGACCCCGCGGTGGCGGCCAGGACCGCTCCAGTCAACAGGTGTCCAGTCGGCATGAGGGGCGCGCGCCCAGCCTCCTGAAGACGGGGGCCCGCAGTGTGGGACGTGGACGTGGCGGGCACCGCGACGGGCCAGCGGAGGCGCGCGGAGCGGAGCTGGGCTGCCGACGGTGCGGACCGCGACGGACTCGCCACCAGGTTGCCGATACAAGGACTCGTGGACTCGGCGGCTTTCGTCGGCCGTGTGGTGGCGTTCCACTAACGCCCCCCCCCCC